TAGAGTGCCGTGGCATCACAGCTCACAGCAACCTCAAACACTTGAGCTTAAGTGATTCTCTTGCCTCAGCTTCCCAAGTAGCTGGAACTACAGGCGCCCACCACAATGCCCAGCTTTATTTTTTTTGTTGTTGCAATCGTCATTGTTATTTAGCTGGTGCGGGCTGGGTTTGAACCCACCAGCCCAGCCTCGGTGCCTGTGGCTGGAGCCTTTACCACTGTGTTAACGGGCGCCGAGAGTTTTTACTTTAAATTCATTTTGCACAAATAAAAAAATACCCAATGACATTACTTTAGATAAATATATCTCTGCTTTAATGCCAGTCAATAAAAAGACAAAAATTGCTTGAATTAGACATTGGCCTGTCTTTGTATTTGCTGTGACTCCTTTAAATTCCAAATTGGGAGAACAAAATACCCATTCAAAACTACAGGGCCATTTTGTTTATATCTTCAGTTTATCTACTGAGGTTAGAAACGGAAGGAAGTACAATTTGAATCCAAAATACCCAGAGGGAGAGTAAAATGAAGGATTCAGCTGTGCAATTTATTTTGGAAATGTGCCAGCAATGGTAATAAAAAGCGGTTTCTCTTACTTTCCCAAGGAGGACAGCCATTTTGTGACGCCATCTGCCTTTGTTTAGAGAGGCAACTCTGATCCAAATATTTAACTGTGAGTTATAAATCCAGACATCACGGCTATTGATTCTTCCACCTTTAAATGCAAAACGATGCGTACACAGTCATCTATCACCATATATCCATCACCAAGAGATGCATGCCACCAAAGCATAGGTAATAAAAACATGAGATTTATTCATCCAATTCGAAAATATGTGAATTCGGTTCAATAAATGAAAATAAGGACCCCTTAAAGTTTAATAGAAATAGTTTATAGAGCAGATTTAAAGTTGGCCAATTGTTATCTCAAGAAGTCATGATTATAGGCACAAAATAATAAAATATAGGATATAAAGTTTACAAATGAGATTAATTTAAGAGTTAGACATCAGGAGCACCCAAACAACAGAATTATCCTAAAAAATATTTTTAAAAATAAGCCATTTTTCAAAAAATATACCACTATATAAAAATCAAGCCTGTATTGTCATCTCATTTAATAGATGGTAATGTAACAAGCTGCAAAGCTGGTGAAATTAAGTTATCAATTAACAGGCTTTCCACTATAGATAATACAGTTATACTTTGTAAAAGTCCATCATTTTATTGTCTGTCTGATTTTAAAAGTGACATATCATAAGGAAGTTCAAGTTAAGAATTTAAAAAAAAATCCTATTTTATAAACTTTTGGGAGAACTTCAGAAAATGTGGATTCTATGAGTCCTTCTGACTTCACATAACTTTATTGTGTTCCTCAAAACAAAGAGGTAAAAAGTTCAAAAAAGTTATATTCTATATCTATTTGAGAATATTTAAAATATAGTATGAATGATTAAAGGCATTTTCTGGTGAATCTTTTGTAAATCATTCTGCATTATCTTCTGTCTGTTTTTAACATCAAAGATCATACCCAGTTTTATTTGTTATAGAAACTGACTTGCACACATATTCACATTTTACTATTTTCTTTTAAGATACAGTTATTGTTTAAAATAGCCAGGCTGTATTCAAATTTAAAGTAGCTACTGTAAAAATTCTGTATTTACCTGAAACAAGAATGTCATTCCTTAGAGCACACACTGCATACTCTGATTTGGTAAATTCTGGAAGCTTAGCCAAAGACTTCCATTCTCCTGTTACAGGATCATAGCACTCGGTGTACGGAAGATTAAATCCTCCAACACGTTCACATCCTCCAACAACAACTATCACCTCAGAATAGCCAGTGGACCTAAAATAATTATTATTGGAATGCACAATAATATTAAGTTAAAATATACTCAAGATTATTTAAAACCCTAGAAACAAACAACATACAATTATAAAGAGTTAAGTTTATTCTCTGTGTACGTGCCAAGTACTACGGGTTGGCAATTACTTACTTTACAGAGTAGTGACATCATTATTCCACAGAAATTTTCTATTTTTTTTTATTGGTTTTGACTTAAAAACTGTAAAGCAGGGTGGTGCCTATGACTCAGTGAGTAGGGCTCCAGTCCCATATTCCGAGGGTAACAGAATCAAACCTGGCCCCAGCCAAACTGCAACAAAAAAGAGCCAGGCATTGTGGTAGGTGCCTGTAGTCCCAGCTACTTGGGAGGCTGAGGCATGAGAATTGCCTAAGCCCAAGAGCTGGAGGTTGCTGTGAGCTGTGACGCCACAGCACTCTACTGAGGGTGACAAGTGAGACTCAGTCACTAAAAAAAAAAAAAAAAAAACAGGCAGCGCCTGTGGCTCAAAGGAGTAGGGGGCCAGCCCCATATGCCAGAGGTGGTGGGTTTAAACCCAGCCCTGGCCAAAAACTGCAAACAAAACAAAATAAAACTAAAAAAAAAACAACAAACAAACTGTAAAGCTGTCCAAAGATTCTATCTAACCCAAACAAAGCCTGGTAATATTAAGGATGACTTTCAAATGCAGTTTTACAGTGATTTCACATAAGACGATGCACTTTTTCTTTTCTTTTCTTTTTTTTGTTTTTGAGAGACAGAGTCTCACTTTGTTGCCCTTAGTAGAGTGCTGTGGCATCACAGCTCATAACAACCTGCAACTCCTGGGCTTAGGCAATTTTCTTGCCTCAGTCTCCCAAGTAGCTGGGATCACAGTTACCTGCCACAGTGCCTGGCTATTTTTTTGTTGCAGTTTGGCCAGGGCCAGGTTCGAACCCATTACCCTCGGTATATGGGGTCAGTGCCGTACTCACTGGGCCACAGGTGCTGCCCAATGCATTTTTTCTAAATGTAGGAAAATGGTGCTTTTTCACCAGATTGCTATTTCTAAAAAACTAATTTATAGTATAATTCAAATATCCCTTAAAGGAATGTATGTGTGTATATGTATATGCCCATAGCATATAATAGTATATATTATGCAATTACCATGGTAAATTGCACATGAACTTTATGGACACCCTGTTATATATTATATATACATGTTATTTGTTCAGAAATTAATTTTTTCTTTTTTTTAGAGACAACAAGTAAATTAAGGTAATCCAACTCAACTGTTGGGGAGACATTTAAAATGCTAGCAGAGTTTATAACCAAGAATGTTAAGGGAAAAAGCATGATGAAAAATTGTACGTAACATATATTCAATACTATGTAAAAAATGTGTCTGGAAAGAATGTGACAAAATGCTAACAATGGTTATCTCTGAAATGTGTGGCCCTCTCTTTTTTCTTTTCTTTTCTTTCTTTTTTTTTTAAGAGACAAGGGCTCGGCTCCGCTCGGCACCTATGGCTCAAGTGGCTAAGGCGCCAGCCACACATACCTAAGGTGGCGGGTTCGAATCCAGCCTGGGCCGTCAAATAACAATGACGGCTGCAACCAAATAATAGCTGGGCATTGTGG